CCAACAAGCATAATCCCTTCCAGTTCCCCTCTGTCATTCTTGCAGAGCGGAGGAGAGGGAGATGGAAGGTGGGAAAGAGAAAGTTGAGAGAGTTGGGAATATGTCCGAGTTCCATGTCCAGTCAATTAAAGAAACGAAGACCAGATTCAGCAGTAACTCCCCCTCTAATCCACGATGAATAGAACTCTGTCTCGGTTGCTCTGTTGAATTAAGACATTCAGATGATTTATTTGAAAAATGGTGTTTAACGGTGCATCTTGGTTTTCAGTACAGTACACCTTGCTGAGCATGTTACTAGATTTCACAGATGATACTATAAACTTGGACCTATAGGTATAGCAGGTTTGCATGAAAATGAGATTAGAGTTTGAAGAGTTTCAAAGTTCAATTGGTTTTCTGTGAAAGTCTCCATTCTAAAGAAACTTAAGGAGTCAGAATTGTTCACACTATTTTAGCAATATCACCATTACATATTCAAATCAGAAGACGTGTAGGTTCACTGGTCATTTGGGATGGCAAATAAAATGACTATATTTGCTCTGTAGACATTGTAACCCGTGGTTCCTATCAGTCAATTAGAGAAACGAAGACCTACTCAGATTTCACTGTAAAGAAATCAGAGTCGGTGGGTTTCTCCACAATGCACCATTCCACATCAAAACACCCTGCGTGACTTTGTTTACATCTCAACAGTTAAATTCTTCAGAAATTAAAAAAAAAGAAACATAATGGATTTTGTCTGCAGTCAAAAATAACAAATATTGTATTGTAAATCTTCGTCTTATCTACTTTTAAAAATTGGCCCTTCACAAGGTTAGCTGTTGCAGTTTTTTGTTCCTTACAGTCACATGGTTATTTTACTAGGGGTTATATAGAATATGTGTGATAGGTATTATAATTTATTTTCAGTTTTATTGCTCATTATATACACAAGTCCGTTATATATTCATGTAATGAGAGCATTGTTAGTTCTATTTAACTGGAATTAATGCAGTGCAGTATGTCAGATATTTTGATTAAACTTTTTATGTTTAAGTAATCCAGGATGCACCATACAACATACTACAGTGTAGTACTACGCAATTATCTAACAGTAAACACTAGATAATTGTTAGACTTAATTAGTTGGGGTAGGAATCCCTACACATAGGCACCTCATGATTTAGTTCTGATTCACAGTACCAAGTTGCGATTATAAACAAATTGTAAGTGCATCTTAATTTTTATTTCTATATCCCACATTAGGATCTTTCTTCCTGTACTTGTTATTAACAAATAGTATTAGCTTAGATGAATTTGAATGAAGCCTGTACTCTGTTCACTTAAGTCTAAAGGCTTGGTTTCTCATCTAACAGGTTTAAATTAAAGAAGGAAAGAAAAACTCTTTTTTTGTTAGTGTCACATATTGTATATCTTAGAGCTTGTGTTTATTTGTCATCAGTAATGTTGGGTGTTGTTAAAATATTTCATTAAAAACAAACGAATACAGGAGTTGACTAGAATCCTTCTTTGAAATGTCTCTGGGTGCATATGTTTTACAATAGGTGAAATGCAGGGCCTTTATATAAACCCCGTTATGACGTTTTGTCAACCGATTCAGAATCTTTTAACAGAAAATCGCAATGTGAAAATAAATTTCCTTCCCTATTCATATTAATTAGACAAAGAGAAAGATGCAAAATGTTATTGCTGTTGTTACAGCAGTCTGTGAAGAGTTATGCTTTCAACAAAAACTAACACAGCACACATTGACTTTTGGAACATACCACTAGCAATTACATGGGGGAGCAATTTCATAATAGTACAAGTGGCAAAACATTCCTGGGCCAAATGCCTGGACATTCTGGATCCCGGAAATTGTTTGCTTTGAATGCTGGTAAAAAAAAAAACTCTGTATAAATGCTTTTCCATTTACCTCCAGAGCACGAGGCTCCCCTGTCTGACAGCTTTAAAAAAACAAAAAAGAGCCAAATTTGATAGAATACACCAAGTGAAACTTCTGTCTTAAGAATGTAGCTATTGTCCACATGACCCACATAAAAGCTACATGTGGGTTAGTCAGGTAAAGAAATGTATACATGGAAATAATTAATGTACTTGGATTCTATAAATGGAGTCATCACACTGATTTACATGTGTCAGCAACAAACCCTAGCATTAGACTGATAAAGTGCCAGTACCTGGAGCTTGTGTCCATTTCAGTGGACAATAATGAGTAAATAATAATGAGTACAACCAATGATGAGTACATCATTAAGCATGGATGCTTTGAGCTGTTTTCCAGTTGGTTTGGTCACTGCAGTGAGGAACGCTGGCTCCTAACTCAATAATTTGACTGCAGAGCTCCTTCCTTGCTCAATAATTGGTCCAAAAGTTTGTAGTCATCTGCTCATCTGAAATAAAGGGTATTAATGGGGAGTCCCCTCCCCCCTTTTTGCAGTAACCACATCTACTCTTCTAGGAAGGCCACACTAAATGTTGGAATATTTGATTGCATTTAGTCACAAGAGCATTAGTTTGATCCAGGTACTGATTTTGGATGATTAGTTCTGGATCACAAACAGCACTCCAGCTTACCAGAGGTACTGGATAGAACTCCGTCTCTCCAGAGAACACAGTTCCACTGCTTCACAGCCCAATACTGGGGGGCTTTGCACCCCTCTGCCTGATGCTTGGCATGATGACCTTAAGCTTATGTGCAGCTGCTCCAGAGCGTCCCCTTCTGTTGCCAGTGCTTCTCTGTGGAGATTATACAAGCTGTGTGTGCAACTGAAAACCTGCGTCACTAATTAGAAAGGGTGTCTGAGTTCTTTTGGGCATGTAGTGTATCTATGCCTGAGTGTACAAAGTGACATTGTTACACAACTCTGCAAAAATGCAACCTCACAAAACCAAAAAACTGCTGAAAGATGAATTTTATGTTTTCTGAGTATATATTTTGTGCTAGGGAATCAAAGTTGACAGCTTTTAAAAACACCTTTGGCATATATAATCAGTGGTCATTTGAGTCTCTGAGAACACATAGCACTTACATTACTGCATAAATCAGTGAAAAGCTTTTAAAAGTTCCATTTTACACGTCAGGGTGGTATCAAGTAGCTGAGAGGTAAAAATGGCATTTGGAAAGTACAGTAATGTGCAGATTGTTACTTAGTTGGCAGATATTTTTATAATAATTCCATGACTCAGTGACTGAGAAACTGATAAACCTATTTAGTGTTATTTTTAGGGGAATGTAATAAACCCCCTTTTCGTTCCAGTTTTGAATCGTGCTCTTGCCCATTTAATGCCTTTTAGCGAATGTAGCTTGTGAAATATCCTGCCATAAAACCAGTGAAGGGAAAGCATCCTGCTGTTGTAACCCTGCTGAGTGAAAAGTGCAAGAGTTTAACAGCTCAGGCGTTTTATATGCCGCATAGCTGAACTGAGACAATGCACTGGCTAAAGAAGTGTGACAGTAATTAAAATAGAACTTATCTCAGAGACTGTCTGACAGGCCATGTTTTTCCATGTTGCGGTTTAGAGAGGACTGAGCATCAGTGCTTGGTGTATTGGCCAATGTTAGAGACTTTTAGGGAGTGCCGCCCTGTTCTGCTGTGTTCATCTCTGCTGTTCTGCACATGGACAAGCACTGAGTTACTCCAAAAAGACTGTGGTATTTTCACCTCCGGTACATTGACTAAAAGGAGAGGTTTCATCACTGAGGCAAGAAATGTGGTAAGCACGTCCTTCCTGTGTGACCCTGATAAGACCGCGAGGGTGGAGAAACATAAACAGCTGCATGATCTGAGGTTATTACTGATTTCTGCATCATCCAAATGGTCAACATCTCATTCACCAGCATTATGAAAAATTAGAAATATCAAAGAAAAGAGCAGAAAGCAAAGAAATAGATCATTCTTTCTGTCCCTATCTGTCTCTCTGGACAGATTAGGGGGAGACAAAGAGTCTTTGTTCAGAGGGCAAAGGCGAGAGAGAGCGAGGACGGGTGAGCGTTGGCTTGTTCTCTGTTAGGTCTTATTTATGTCTGTTACCATGGCGATAACTGTCCTGTGACAGCGGGAGGAAGCCGTTGCCAGCATGTCTGTGGTGGGGAGGGAAGTTGATAGCGGATAGGCGTGGCCAAGTAGTTCTAGAGCCAAACCGGGGAATGCAGTAACTACTGATTTACCCCCAAATCTCCACTGTTGAGTCAGTTTTCTCAAAATGAGCATGGGAACATTCTCGATTTGAATGTTCCATATGTAGCCTATGTGAAGGAATGCTACCATATAAGGATACACGTGGTCATTAACACTATCATTCTTGTCATCATTATTTTACCACATTTTATGTCAGTGCAAAAGGCCACAGCATATCTCCAACACAGATTGTGTAATCAAAACCCTTTCTGTTAAAAAAAGACATAACATAAACAATCTTTATGTTAAAAAATTCTGAACAAACTGCCTGTGTGTATATACAAAATACATAAATACATATAGACATAATAAAAATAGCACACTGGTTAAGTTAATGGTAAGACAGAATGTATTGTCCTTAATTCAATGCACAAATGTGTTGTTTTTAACACATCTATTTTTTTAAAGAGTCTTTATAAGTTCTAGGAGTAATTTTAACTCTTAATTGTATTGAAAGCTTAAAAGCCATTGGGTCATTTGGATCCATTTGGTGCAACTGAATTACTCAGTACAGAAGGAATTATTGACTTAAGTCTCTGTAATGACAGAAGTGTGACATTTATTCTGAATTAACACCGCCTGCTCTAGGCACATGGGAGCATGTGCTTTGCTAAAACTTGTTGACTATAATGCAATTTGTAGGAACCAATTTGTCTGATATGTTCCAGTACTTGTAGTTGTTTAAGTGGCAAAATTGTTGGCTAAGCTTTCTTCTGAGAACAAGATGCTCATTGAAAGAGACTGGTGGAGAATAGAAGTGAGTGTGTGTATGTGTGAAAATAAAATTGTAAAACAGTTTATGAGAAAGTGACACACTGCTTCAAATGTACAACAGAATGTTTAATTAGAAAAAAATTGAATAGTGCTTCAAAATTACTGGTCAGATCATCATTCCTTGGTGCTATAGCAAACTACAGTACATTCTCCAAAATAAAACCTACACGGCTGGCTTCCTGGGCATGGATCAAGGCTAGTCCTGGACTCATTTTGAGACTAAGCTTAGACTTAATCTAGGTCTAGGAAACCAGCCTTCAGTGGTTATAATACAAACTGGTATGGTCAAAAAAAGGCCATGGTTTAATGTTTCCTTTGGTTTAGCAATATATAGATAAAATGCAGTTGAACGGTGTCCTACATCTTACGGTCCCCGGCAAACGCTGGTTTCTACATGGAAGGAATCTGTAAGAAAGCACAGCCAACATAAGCAGCACATTATCAATAGGGGTTGATAGGGTGTGCACTAGTTAGAATAACACTAAGGCAAGTTTTTTCTGGATGTTAGTCTTGAACCACATCATCAGTAGAAGTTCTCCATTGCAAGTCTTTTAGCACAGAACAAGCAAAAACTGCTGGAAAAACTCACCTATGTCAGGAACTAATTGAATGTGTGACTCTCAGTGCCTCCACGTCCAAACCCTAAAGAAGAGAAAAAAAGGGAGATAATGAAGTCACACCATGTTAGCAAATAGTTTTCAGCTCAGTGGTGGCTGACCCACAACAGTGGAAACTCTGGTGTTCCATTTTCTGACTACGGAAGTTTGAAACAGAGGCCATTTGGAAGGAACATTAACGTTGCTTTGACAACCTCAGTCAGCTGATATGAAATTCCTACAATTCTTGTTGCGATAGACAGACCTTTCAAAGTGTGGCTGGACAACCATAACGGGTTACCATTATGTAAGACAGCCTGTTTGGAGAGTGGTATAAGATATCACAAGATAAAATTAGATAAGAGACTTTGTAAATCAAGATTATCTCTCTCTGAGTGCAGTAAAATGCATGTGGTAAAGGTTTAGTGGTATTGGGTGGAGAGTGTTCCACAGCATTCAGGTGGGTTTAAGGGGTTAATTAGGCCATAACTCCTATTCAGCTCTTTGTTTATTAGCTTGTCTTAGGTGATAAACAACTTTGACTGCATGACACAGTGCTGTACTGCAAAACTATGGTGCAGGAATGGTAAACGTTACCTCACCTTTGGGCCCAAAGAGCGCGGAGTAGCAAGGGTTGTTACAGTATGGCTTTCCATCATGCTGTGAAAGAAAACACATCATTCCATTTATAGAATATAAATGAATAATGGAGTGGGGCCAATTTGTCTCTCCCCAAAAGAAACATACTGCTACTGCAGCTTCAGACAATGTTTTGACTGCAGCCTTAATGCCAAAAGTCAACATCAGTCTTTTGAGTCCAAGTATCAAGTTACTTCTTTCATGTAATCATTTAATAGTGATATAGTTTTACCTCTGCGTGGGAGCCAGCGGACAGGGTCTTGTTGCATTTCTCACACTTCAGGCAGGGTCTGTGCCAGTCCTTACCTAGAGATGACACTCTCTCCGCTGAAACATAGAAAGGGAACACTGTTATTGTCCACTAATATACAACATAAAGAGTCCTTTAAAACTCTGCCATCCTCTGGATTGAGGTCAAATAAAGACCTCAAGAAGTTTGTCAGACTGTCTCCCTACAGTTATGTTTACTGAAATAAGATCCTTATTAGGTCCTTAAAGTTATGAAGATAGGGTTTTTGATTGCTCTTCATGGAGCTTTCTGTACATTACAGCTTGCTGTAATATTGAATGATGAAGCTTTGTTGCTGTTCTTTGCTGGAGAACTGAGCTGTTCTCAGAGCAGCGAGACTGCCTCTGTTTGTATTCATGACATGAAAGTCAAGTCACATCAGTGCAGATCAGTGCAATGTTTTTTTTTCCTCCCTTGGATAAGTCACGGTCGGGAGAACATGGTGGGCGTGTTTGTGTGGCCAGAGACATTCCCTCAGGAATTTTCAACCTCACCCCCTTCTCGTAAACACTGCTAAAAGAAAGTCTTTATCTGCAGGGCCACGCATGAGAGATTCTAAGGGATTCTCATAAATAACCGACAGAGGACTAAAAGCTTTGCGTCTTGAGGCCATTTTTATTATCATAGATGCTCATACATCGTTCTTTTCTCCAGCAGAGATGTTTCAAGGGAGTTTTTTGGGTCGGAGACTGCATCTGCTGGACGCCAAGTGCTGTTTGTGATTGGGACCATGCAGAGAAGATGCTGAAGAGTTATAGCTCCCATAAAAAGAGAATAGATGTCAAAGCTTTACATTTGAGATAACTAAAGCTTGTCAAAGGCTTTGCCATAAATAAAGTGTAGCGTGTGCACAGAGCTGAAATACTGTCACCATCTGTGAAATTATTTTGAGAAATTACAAAAGGTCCCATTCTGCAAAAAAAAAAAGGAATCCAAGTCAAAGCCACAAGTTATGACAGGAGTATCCACTGTCTGTAATGTAGTGTTGCCAAGTTATGGTTTGTGTGTGTGTATTTTATTGGTGTTTGGGGACATTCCAAAGCCACATGTGTTTATCATGATGTCCTCATCAGTGTGATGGGTGTGATGGCTTGTATAGATGTTCTCCTGAGCATGAGAGTCCCATTTACTGCCTGTGACGCAAATCAGGGAGCAGAAGAACTTGCCCAAAGCACACATACACCCTACCATGGAAAAACTCTTCATTGAGAAAGAGACACGCACAAAGGAAACTGACAGCACTGGATGGAAATTGTTCTTGCATGTCCTTTCCTGAAAATAGAATGATTTTGGCAGAGTGGTCACCAACCTTTCTCTTGCAGACCTTCCTGCCAAGTTCAGCTCCAACCCAAAACTCCAAAATCCAATAAAACCATACCATCCAGTTCCTGATTAGTCGGCTGATTCGATGTGGAACTAAACTTTCTATTATGATAGATCTCCATGAGGTGAATTGGTGACCTGAGTTTGAGGGTAAACATTTCTCTGAAATTGTGTCTGACTTTCTTTTGAAGTTTCATTTCTCATTTTTTGGTGCACAGTTGGAGAGCAGTTTCACATGTGTTGAATCTGTAAGCATTGAGGTAAACAATATACAGTTCCTTGATTGCACTTTGATTCAACTCAGTTTGGATTTTGCTGTGGATTGAGATTGCTCTCCTTTCTCTCGAACCGCCCTTTCTGCTCTAGCTGTGGGAGGGAAAGGCGAGGGATGTTGAATTCCTCTAAGGGTGGATTTTTATTGTTTTTCTCCCACTGTAAGGACATAATGCTCAGCTTCCATAAGGAAAGCAGTGGTAGCATAATTGCTTCCATCTGAACATTAGAGTCTTAGTGAGTGTGAAGAGAGCAGGTATTAACACAGTGTTTAACTAATGAAAAAAAGGGTTATTCGTGCACAGAAAGTAGTGAACGTAGAATAATGTTTGTACAATGCATAAAGGCTTCCAGTGCTTTATTGTTTCCTGAGCTGGCTTTGGAGCCATTTTGGCTACAAGAACTGATGAGAGTATAATAGCACCATTAGGAGTACAGGTGTGTTTTTTTTGTGACCTCCCAGATGGAGGGAAGCAGAAGAACATTTATTCATTCAAACCTGCACAAATGACGGATACGAGCTATAAAATGTGGAGAAAAAGCTGACACAACTGATAGGACAGGAAAAATTCTACTTCTATACTAAAAAGAAAGACCCATTCTTTTATATGTTAACAGGGAATCAGTAATGAAACAACCAGGAGCGTTTACTTTGGCAGAGGCTGCAGAGTAAATCTGCAGGGAAGGGAAAAGCAAAAGAGAGAAAAGAGGATCAATTCATCCTGCTGACAGAACAGTGACCTGGAGCCCAGACATACAGTGGAGAGACAGAGAGAGAGAGAGAGAGATGGCTTTGTACTCTGGCATCTCTGGAGGTTTATGCCTCTAAGGAATACCCCGTGCTCTATAACTAAAGTAAGAAAATGCTGAAGGCTGACTTAGATCAAACTGAACAGATCATATTCTAGCTGATTTTCTTCTGATCCATTCAGGCTGGGTTCGACAAAGTCTCTGGGATTAGAGGCAGTTTCCAGACATGTTTTTTTTCTTTAATCTTTTATTTTTCTGTTTCTTTTATACTTCTTTTTGACAAGCGTATGTAATTGCAGTGAGCATTCAATCCAAGAATTTGAATTTCTTCTGAATAAAATGTCTATTTATTTATTCATAAAACTTATAAAACTTGCCATAAAACTACTTGTCCTCTAGTTCTTGGTGGAGAATGTCTAAAAACACTACAACACATCCATTAGGCTCCTTTTAACGTCTTTTCGAGACAGACCTGTACTTAAAGAGGGTCTTGTGAGAGGGCGCACCATTAGAATTCTTAAATAACAAAGCAGGTCCTCACATACAATTATATGTTTTCATATTGTTTACAGTTTTACTCATGCTTTTAACCTTATAGAGTTTGCTTAATTAATTTATTTGATTAACGTGTACATTTGCACATGCATAAAATATAACGTACAATTACTGTTCATTTACTTACTTACTGCTGTTTACTTTTTCGACTTATCCTCTGTGCACATGGTTACCACAACAATAAAATATCCCAGCACAGTATGTATGTAAACTGCCTCTAACTGTGTTTTATTTATATGAAAACAGTGTACACATTTGAGTTATTTCTAAGCACAGTGTTTTCAGTGTAACATGCACGTGGGCAAGCTCAAAACGTTTCTTCAGAAGTGCCCTCCAGCCACCTTCAAACTTTCTGGCACAGTGATTTTTGCTCTAACTCATTGAATTACACTGTAATATCTTTCTTTTCTAACATTGAAGTGTGATAGTTTTTTTTAAAGAAAAGTCTAGCAATGAATTCTCTTCATTTCTTTCAGTTCCAGGTTTGCGTTCACTGAAAGCAGGAAATGAGTTCAAAAGCATCATGCATCATGTCTTATCTCTGCATACTTCCTTGACACTCCCTTGTAGTGCAGTGCAAAGACTGCTGGAATGCACTTGACCACTTTAACTGTTGTTTTGATGCAGTTTAGACTACCATGTGCGATCACAGTCACCACTTACTCAGAATTTACTCTTTATTTTCTGTATAAATTCTTCTCATTAAACATTTTAATTTAAAGCACGGTTTCTTACCAAAGTACACTTCCTTGTTGCACTTGGGGCACTTGGGCATGGTGGCAGAGTTGCAGTAAAGTTCCTGGTCAGTGGAAATCCCGTGGTGGACACACAGAGGAGCAGAGAGCAGTAGGAGCTGCACTGGCCACCTGTTTTATACCGCCGAGGAAGAGGAGGAGGCACAGGCTGGGTGTGTACTGTGTGTGCACGCGCATTTCGTGTGTGTGTATGGACAGACATGTATTCAGCTCCTTGTGGGGACACGTGTCCAACGTGTGATGACAGCAGAACATGAAAGTTTAGATATTGTGGTGACATTTGGATCTTTTATTTTTTCAAAAGAGCCAGAATATTTCCTTTGGGCCCTGATGTTAAGGTTAGAGTTGGGATAGATGCAGTACAGCAGCATTTAACTACAGTAATTCAGAAGACAGTGGAAAGGAGTAGTGCTCTCACGATTGCTCAGTTAAACTCAATTACTCTATTAAACTTGATTGCATGATTAAACTATAATAAAATATACCTTCTCAATGAATTGACAATGACTAGTTGAGTCATTTTAAATTGTAGGACAATTTAAATTTCCTGTTAGCTTCTCTCACTGTAAGAAACAGCCTCATGGACACACCCTTTCTTGCTCTCTTGCAACATAATTATCTTCAAATGTAGCTCAATTTTTGCTGTTTTTGTACTTTTTTGCATAATTAATAATAACTCCAGTTACCCTTTATAATGTTTGAAATTTGGTGATAAATGGACCAATAGAAATAATAGAAGTAATTTGAAATGTTTGAAAAGCTGTACAACTGTATTTTGTTGTTCAATTAAGTAATTGGCCTTTTTAGCTAAAGCTGCACCATGTAAGATTTGAGAATTTGGAGACCTCTCTGGTGGAAATGTGTAATTGCACACAATATGCGAAAGAACATGTTTGCTATGAAAATTTAAAAATGATTAAACATAGACACACCATATTTTAGCCTTTTTTTCTTCTGACTCACAAATAAAAACAAAATAAATCTTGCACAGTGCTGCTATATTCATCAAAATAATTGGTACCTCGCTTGATTACTAGTATAATCTTTAAAAGGAGAACTATAAGAACAGGAATTCAATCTTGTGCATGTGTAAGAGTCTTCTTCAAGTATGCAGTGGTGCTTTATATTTTCTAAATCTTTTGAAATGTTCTATACCACCAGTTATATTAGAACTTACTGCCTAACTTCAAAAAGCCTTTTGGATCTGAGGCTGTTAACTGTGGACTGTTTACCATCACAGTGTGTAAAGGATGGTGGGAGCTGCTCATTAGGAGCTGTTTCAGTATCTGAGCTTAGAGGAGACATAAAAGTTTACAATGATAAATTTTGCCAGCTCATTCCAGTTTTACCACAGCCTAAGTTCATTTTATTATCATTGAGTTGGTTGATGTTGTAGGTGCTGCAATGAAAGACCCCAAAAAGGGTAAATATTGCTTAAGCAAACTTCACCAGAGGATAATTAAGCATCTTGTAGTCTGTAATCTGTTTGTTTGGAATTTATTTGTGGGCATTTACAGCCTGTTGACTCATCACCAGAATTCCCTTTCCTATTGTGTTTATATGAAGCCACTCTACCTTACCTTGTTTATTTTCATTATAACTTTTCTAACCTTTTAAGCCTGTTCTGTCCAGTGACGCTTGTCGTAAACAGCATCGGCCTTTGAGCTTAAAATGTAACAACGCACATTCCCAGATTGTTGCAAGCTGCTCCTTCAGTTTTTGCCACGCTGAATACATTTTAAAACAACCTCAAAAATCACATAGAAAACACTGAAACCATGTTCGAAAACAGATATTCAGGTCTTAAATGCAGGCCCAAATTACCACAAGCATAGGGCACAGAAGTGCTTGTCTAAGCTCACCTTGGAGAACTGAATGATCAAGCTTGTTCAAAGGCCCACTACTTCTCTTTGATAGCACGTTTGTGGTCTGCAGCACACTTGCTCAAAAGAGATGAAAGAGAGAATTGATTAACGATTAGGACTTTATTCACTCGTTGAATAGGTTTTCAGAGTTTGGAGTATACAGGGATTCATCTTTGTTTATGGATTGAATAGTGTTTTGTCAGAGATGAGTGAGCTCTGTGCCCATTGTAAGTCACTGGAAGAAGGGGTGACTCATAAGGCATGATATTCATTAGATTCTAGTGAACATGATATAAAGAAGTCATAAAAGTAGTAAGCAGGCATAATAACTGACACAGTCTGTAATGTTTGTAAGTGACATTTTGGTGCGCAAAAAGACAAAAAGAACTATTGTATTCCCTTTGTAAAGAGAGATGACTGTTGTATTCCTGCCATTCTAGTTCCTGACCTTTCTGTGTGGCACTGCTATGAAAATATCTCGATTTTGTGTATACGTACGTCCTGTTTTGTGTGCATGTGGTCACTTTGCATTAAGCAAATATTGCTGTGAACCTCCATTGGCTTCTCCAGTGCTGACTCATCCCAGAAAAGATAGCAGAGCCTCAGACCAACCTGTGTGTTAATCAAACACACCATGGCAACCACTTGTTTTTCATGCACAGCAAAGTACATTCACAAATACACACAGACTGTGATGAATAATGAACTCACTTTATAAGTGACAGCACACCCTGATGTAACTGTTGTGGCATGTTGTTAGTCTGGGAACTTTGCTTGTTCTTTTGTGTTTTTGAATTGTATTATGCATATTCTTTGCATATGCTGCTGCTTAATGTAGTCCAGCTGATGTGCAATTTCTCTTGCCTGGTAAAAGCATTGTTATGAAATGGATAGTTCCAGTTCTAAAATGTGTTTGGCTGAAACCATTGTAACACACTTGATGTACTCACACACATGACATCTATCAATTCAGTTCAGTTTCATACAGCACTGTGCAAAAGTCAAAGATGACCCTTTGTCTGTTTAATTTCCAGTCAAAATTGGCTTGAACTTATTCATTGTTGGCGTTTAACAGAAAATTACACAGAGGCCAACAACTAAAGATAATATGAGATTTTTCCCTGTTTAATGTGTCCACTCTTTGCTTTTATTCCAACTTACATTATATTCGGAAGACTCTTTGTTAGTTTTTAGTGAAATCTGCAAGGATATTTTTCCACACCTTCAAAGTTCAGTCTTACAAAGTGGTTGCATTTTCTTCTTCTCACAATCTGGCAACTTTGTTTGATTTGCAAATTTTCTTTGTTTTTTCTTTTTCTTAGTAAGAGCTTCTTGACAGCTACACATTTTTCAGACCCATAGTGTTGAGTTGCCTTTTCACAGTTTAAGGGTGGAAAGAAAATTCGGTGGATTTTTTCAGATCTTTTTAAGAAGCAAGAGTGAAGCTTGATTTTCTCCTGTCTCTCAAAGATGAAAGCTTTAAGTACAGTTAATGTGATGGTGGCAGTTTTGGTGGTCTTCCAGGTCTTGCATGGTTGTTGGAAGTCCCATTTTCTCTGTACCTTTTAGAGTTTTTTGAACTTGAGTTTTGGAAACTCATTTTTTTCTTGTTTTCTTTGACTGGAAATAGAGGAAGTGTGGTCTTTGACGTTTGCACAGTACTGTTCTTTGTGCTGTGTTGAACAATCCTGCTGAATAATCTTTGATCACTCAATTGCTTGATAACCATAGCCTACCCTTAACTAATTAGACTAGTTGATGGAAGCATCCATTACAGAAAATAACTGTAGTAGTAAAATATGAAACAATGAGGTATAAGATTTCATAAATGTCTATAATAAAAAAGTCTATGAACCTAGTATATTATGTTCTTGTAGTACTGAGTTTTAGTAATTTATAATACTTTAGTAGTATTTTATAGTGTGTTGCAGTAATTCTCCAAATTTGCTACTACTAATTACAATTGTTCTTTTTCATTAGAGATTGTTTATTATGATCATAATTAATAATACATTAAATAATGTGTTGATTTAACGTTGGAAAAGAACAATGGGCCTCATTCACCAACAGTTCTCAAGAAGAAATTTCTTTAAAACCACATACACAGTTTTTGTGAAAATTCTGACATTCACCAAATTTCTTATTTGGGATTTGTTCTTATGTAAGAACAGAATCTATGCACAATCAAGAGCATATAGGTGCAAACAATTCTGTGATTTAAGAATATGTCACTTTTTTTTAGACTCTTTCTCAAGAACAAATTTAAGAGAGAACTTAGGAAGATATTGGTGATAAGAATGATACCTAATGTCTTACAAAACATAGCAAAACTGAGTTGATTTATAAAGCAGTTGTCTACGTTAGTGTTTGTATTGTCACATGGAGACTAAACACAGTGAATATGTATCCAATTGGTTTGAGCCTGAACTCTGTTTGCAGCTTTCCTCTCTTCAGCCTGATATGCTGCACTCGGTAGCTGCCAAACAAGTCAGCTCTCATTAGGTGAGTCAGAAAAAATGATCAGATCAGTTAAAACTTCTTATGGGCCACGGATGCTTTTGTGGCCATTTATTTGGGCTGCGAGCAAAAGGTTGCAAACCCCTGGGCTAAGTCATGTTTTTGTTTACATTTTAATTATCTAAATGAGTCATCGAACCCTACGTCCACTACAAAAATTTGTTTCAGATGTCTGTGTGTGGCTTTAACACTGGCACATTTGAGCGCATGTGAGATGGATCAGTCTCCACGGTGCTTCCCACAGCATCTCTATCAACAGGCTTACTCTCACCATCCCTGTATCGTGCCAACCTCAGTCACACCTGACCTCCATCTCCATCTCATCCTCATGGGTGTGTCTCCATAAAGCACACAGCCTCTGTTTCATCTCCACCTCAAGCATAGGTAACCTTTCCTACCTTCTAATTACGTTCCTGGATTCTGTGTGCACCTCCATGCTTTAGACACTGTGAGGTTTACCATCAAAGATTTTCCACTAAGCTTCGTTTCCTCCTGCTGTTGACAGCAGGTCCAGGAGACCATCTAGCTTCATAATGTTTTTCTCCTCCTCCCTGTCTCCTCCTTCTCTGTTATCATGGCCACATAGCCCCCTTAATACCAGCAGGATTATCTGATCTCAGCACCCGCAGGCCCTTCTCATTCTTGATTAGGTGCCAGCCTCCTACTACTGCAGACATGGTGCAGGTGTGAATGGTGTCGGGTAATTGTATTCTGTGGACAAGACAAGACGAAGTGAGACAAGATATAGCCA